GTTTAAGAGAGTTCCTCCATCTTAACAGTTTGAACAAAAGCCTAAACAAAAGTTCCAAGCTTGACACTCAAAGATCTGATGTGTCATGTGATCATGTTGATTCAATCACTGTTACTGAGATGGGAGGTACTTGATTTCTATAGGAGACACAGGGTACCATTACAAAAGGAAGAATGGCGGCTAGGAGACCACAAAACAATATATGCCACTTCTTCACACTCAATCAATTTCTTCAAGCCTCATTTTTTAAAAAAGATTTTATTTTGTTTTATTATTTTTTTAAAAGAATTTATTTATTTATTTATTTATTTATTTATTTATTTATTTGAGAGAGAGAAAGAGCACAAGCAGGGGGAATGGCAGGCAGAGGGAGAGGGAGGAGCAGGCTCCTGGCCTAGCAGGCCCCTGAGATCATGACCTGAGCTGAAGGCAGACACTCAACCGACTGAGCCACCTGGGTGCCTCAAGGGGTGGTAGAGGAGCAAATTGGGTAATAGATATGAATCATATCAGAACACCTGGGTGACTCAGTGGTTGAGTGGCTGCCTTTGGCTCAGGGCGTGATCCTGGGGTCCCGGGATCTAGTCCCACATCAGACTCCCTGCATGGAGCCTGCTTCTCCCTCTGCCTATGTTTCTGCCTCTTTCTGTGTTTCTCATGAATAAATAAATAAAATCTTAAAAAATATATGAATCATATCTCTTATGAATCATAAAAGTGCTGTACAAAGATTAGTTATTATTCTTGCTCTTGCATTTCTCACATGGTATCATTTGTTTAGCTGTATGTATTTACATCTATTTGTATTGTTTATCAATATATATTGTTATCAATATTTATTTATTGCAACAATATTGCAAATATTATGATATTTGCCCATATTGCTATATAGGAAAGTGTCATTTTAGCTAGCACTCTCTCTAAATTTTGCCAATGCCTGTAGAACTGATTTTTCTTTCCAGAGACCAATGAATGGGCAAGATGTCAGGATGGTGTTTGACTGGGGAGTAAGTTTCTATCCAAAGAGCCCTGGAGTTTCAGAGCAGATTAACTTGCTAGTAGACTTGCCAGATGGCACATAGCTGAAAGTTTGATCCAATAGTGCCAAACTGGGCTATGGTTCTTTCTCTACCTCAAATTAGATGTGTGGCCTTAGGCAGATGACTTAAACTCTCTGAGCCTGAAAAATGGAGGTCATAAGAAGACCTACTTCTTCTTCTTCTTCTTCTTTTTTTTTTTTTTAAGATTTTATTTATTTATTTGACACACAGAGAGAAAGCACAGGCAGGGGTTGCTGCAGGCAGAGGGAGAGAGAGAAGGCAGCTCTCCACTGAGCAGAGAGCCTGATGAGGGACTCCATCCTAGGACCATGGGATCAAGATCTGAGTCAAAGGCAGACATTTAACTGACTGAGCCACCCAGGTACCCCAGAAGACCTACCTCTTAAAGTTGTGGTAGGATTAAATAAGATAATATGTAAAATGCCTCGGCCTTAGAGAAAATCTTAAGCTTGTGAGACACATACATCCCTTTATTGAGCTCTCATTAATTTCTGTTCTGCTACATTACAGCTAGGTTGAATCCAGGTTCTTTCACATCTCAGAAGTACATTGATTTGCTCTGTTTTCCTAAGGAATAACTGTTGTTTTCCTCAAAGCCTTATGTCTTCAGAACTTGGACCAGGAATACTTCCAAGCAGAAAAGAGTCTAACAAGAGATACTATTTGCTATAGGCAACTGAAGTTGATAATTCTAATTTTTTTCACATGTGAAGATTTAGATCCACACTAGACTGAAAGTGTGTACCTACTATGTTTACTGGAATAGGCTCCTCTAGCACATGATTGCTCATAAACCTATAATAATCCATGATTAGGACTAATATCCTTATTTTACTGACAAGGAAATAGGAGGTCACGTAAATTAAGTAACTTGATCAAGGTGACATAGTTGAGAAGGAGAAGGGAGACAGTCTAGTAATGTAAGGAAGATGGACTTTGAAGTCAGAAAGATCCAAAGTAGGATCCCAGCAGTGCCATATACTAGATCTTAAACTTGGAACAGTGACCTAATGTTTTAAATCTCAGTTTCTTCAGTGGGGATTGGAAAATCTACCTCCCGTTGAGTATTGTGAGGTTGAAATGAGGTAGTATTTGTAAAGCAGAGTGCTTGGCACATGGCAGGTGCTCTGTAAATCCTTAGATACTTTATAAGTGTTTTGAGAACCCAGAGCCCATGGAGCCCATCTATAGTGCCATTTTAGAGAAAACTTCGATCATCATTAAGCTTCTTCAGAACATTGGATGAGAGATTCAAATGAGGTAGTGAGGAATGAGCCCAGACATGGGAATCTAGAGACCTGGGAATTGGTGCTGGCTCTTATTTAGTATGTGTCTGACTTTGGGCAAGGAAACTGAGCCTTAGTTTCCTTATTTGTAAAATACAGACAATATCCTTTGCCTCACAAGATTGCTGGACTTACAAATGCACATGGATACAAACACTCTTTTTAGTTTTAGAAAGCTGTGTAAATGTGACAGCTTTCATTTTGTGTTTATTTTTGTGTTTGAGTCCTCAAAGGACTCAAAATACTGTGAGGCCTGCCTCCTAAAGGCAACTTTTGGGGAACCTGACCATTAACTGAGGCCTGATTATGTGAGGCCTGATTAAGTGCCGCTATGGCTGCTACTTGTGCTCATACATCAATCATCGTGCCCACTAAATCCTCAGCCCTGATGAAAGGCAGCACCAAGGAGAACATCACCCCCCACCCCCCTACACACACCCTGACTCACACAACTGTTTGGACTAGGACTGGGAATCTGACCTAAAGGCAAGCAACCCACAAGCTTGCCAATGACCTACAAATGTGGTCTGCCTCTTAAAAAATGAGTTGGACAAATCAATATTTCTCTCCCAGGAGTTTGAGTTGGGAAACATGAGGTGATTGAGGCAATTGGTAGCAATAAAAACTATGACTAAAAGGATACAAAGAGAGAGGACATAAGGTTGAGTAGGGCTCCATGTAAGAGGAGATGGCATCTAGGCTGAGACAAACTAAAGTGATGAGGAAGCAGAATTTATGAGTGAACAGAAGCTATGAAGTAAAAAACAATAATACATGTTCATTCAACTAATGTTCCCAGAGTTCCTTCTATGAACAAGCCTCCATATTAGGCTCTGAATACATAAGACGCAGCTTCTGCCTTCATTGCACTTAATTTTGGTGGGGAAGAGAGACAAAATAAGTAAACAAAACAGGTAATTAGACATTGTTTTAAGGGTTAAAAAGAAAACAAATATGAAGCTGAGATAGAACATATCAGGAGGGAAACACTTAAGACATAGCACTGCAAAGGAAGTTCTCTCAGAACAGATAATTAAAGAGAGACCTAAAGAATGAGAAGGAGCCAGAGAGAAGAGTATTTGAGGTGGAGGATAAGTAATGCTGGTTGGCAGGAAAGGGCTTATCATGTTCAATGAAGTTGAGAAATGGAAACAAAACAAATCAGCCATGCTGCTGAAGGAAAGGGAAGGAAAGGAAACAGCACGACATGAGTTTGGAGGAGTGAGCAGGAGGCATGTTACGGACATGGAAGGCCTATGTATGGAGTTGAGAATTTAGTTCCAGTGAATTTAGTCCCAGTGAGTCCCAGTGAGAAGCCATGAAAGTATTTGAGACTGAGTAACACGATCCAATAGAATGTGTAGATAAGCTTGAAAGCTAAAGAGTCACCCTAGGTTCAAACCCACACTCTACCATTTACCAGCTGTGTGGTCTTGGGCAAATTACTTAATCTCTCTGTACCCCAGTTACCTTTTCTATAAAATTAGGGGTAGAATTGGGTTTTACCTCATAGAATCATTGTGAAGATTAAATATATATAAAGTGCTTACAGCAGTTTCTGGCACATGATAAACACCCAATAAAAGCTTGTATTATTATTTTGTTTTCAAAAAGGTCATGGTAGCTATTATATAGAGGATGAATGTGTGAAGGATAGAAAGGAAGCCAGTTATGAGGCTGATGAATAGCCTAGGTAAGTGATGTTGAGTGAAGTGGTAGCAGTGGGGACAGAGAGAAATGGACTAATTTGACATATTTTTAGAGGTAAAGTATTCGTACTTTGCAGTTGGATTGGATATTGAGGTGAGGTAAATATAGGAATCAACACTCACTCCTAGGTTTCTAGCTAGAGCAACCAGGTGGAGTGAGGGGACATTTACTGAGAAGGAGGAGCTTGGAGGAAACAGGTTTGGCAGAGAAATTAGGAGTTCTATTTTAGACATGTTAAACTTAAGATGTCAGTGAGATCCGAGGAGATATCAATTAGGCAGTTGGTTGTAAGTTTGGAGCCCAGAAGAGAGGTCTGGGATGAAGATATGAATTTAGAAGTTATTAGCATAATCAGCATTCAAAGCCTCCCTTCCTTGTATCAGCATTCAAAGGCATAGAAGCCATTGAGATTACCTAGGAAGAGACTATACAGAGAGCAGTAAAGGGAGCCAAGAAGAGTCCTGGGGAGCAATGCATTTTAGGGTGGTTGAACAAACAGGGAGAATGAAGAGAGGCCTGTGAAGAGAGAGTAAAACCAGAAGAGCATGGAACAAAAAAACGAAGAGAGTACAGCGTGTCAAGAAAATTGGAGAGGTCAGCTGAAAGTGGAAAGGTCAAATAAGATAAGGATAGAAGGGCAGCCCAGGTGGCTCAGCGGTTTAGTGCCGCCTTCAGCCCAGGGTCTGATCCTGGAGACCCGGGATGGGATCCTGCATCGGTCTCCCTGCGTGGAGCCTGCTTCTCCCTCTGCCTGTGTCTCTGCCTCTCTCTGTGTGTGTATCTCTCATAAATGAATAAATAAAATCTTAAAAAAAAAGATAAGGATAGAAAAAAACATCACTAATGATATTGATAAGAACAATTTCAGCGAAGAGTGTGTGTGTGTGTGTGTGTGTGTGTGTGTGTGTGTGTAGGTGCTAAGTAAGCATCAAATAAATTGGAAGTGTTCTTATTTTGATGGCATATATACCAAAACTAAAACAACACAGAGGAAATTGGCATGACTCCTACATGTAGATGACACACAAATTTATGAAGCATTCCATATGTTTTTATATGGATTTGACTTTGGACAATATTAACTTATATATTTAAAAAGAAAATCAAATCTACAAGAATGAAAGGGATCTTAATTAAAACTGAGTAAAAATAGAAAACAAATAAACCTGACTATATATAAGTGATATATATTTATTCTGAAGAAAAATAAAAACCAATCCAAATAACTTTTGAACACAGTATTTTGAATATATACCTTTAGTCTAAAAACAAAACAAAGCTGCAAACAAATCCTGAACCCAATTTAATAGATTTTTTTTAAGTGACATGGATGTAGATACTGAAACTATTTTTTGTGTTAACACAGAGCAAATGAAAAAAGACAATGATGCTAATGGGAGTCAGAATTCTCACTGTGAGAAAAGGGAGATGCAAATAAGCAATGGGAAAAAGAATCCTGTGGTGCTGAATTGGAATTAGAATGTACTAGTAATGCATTCATGATTAAAAAAAGTTGAACTATATTTTTCTTTTTGGCTCTGTTTTTTTTTTTTTTTCCTTGTGGCTCTGTTTACCTAAAGAGTCTAAAAGCAATTACATCCCAGTAACAATGAGCACATCTAGTGCCCATATCTTGATTTCTAAATACCACTGGCCACTAAAAGGGGAGCTCTTTGGAAAGATGGATGATTTCCAAGGCTATACAGGAAAAAGTACAAGATGAACCTGGAATATCGTATTAAAAGCAAGACAAGTGCTTTAAAAAAAAAAGATAGGGGGATGTCTGGGTGGCTTAGCCGTTTAGCGCTTGTCTTCGGCCCAGGGCGTGATCCTGGGGTCCCGGGATCGGGTCCCACGTCGGGCTCCTGGCAAGGAGCCTGCTTATGCCTCTGCCTGTGTCTCTCATAAATAAATAAAATCTTTTAAAAAATAAATAAAAATAAATTTATTTATTAATAAAAAATAGGTGTGTGTGAAAAGGATACAGGACCCAGTATGAAGGGATCTCACTGGGCAAATCTGGAACAAGTTGAACGTTAAAATGAATAATGACAGTAATCGATTATAGTCTATTAAATAAAATAAGAATCTATGAGTCTATACTAATGATAATAACTATATAAATAAGTAAGAGAAAAGAAAAAGATCTTGCTTATAGTAGAATGCCAACTAAAAAATGTAGGTGGAATAATGGAATTATAAAATCACCATTTTGAAATCATTAGAGTAATTAATTCAGACATTGATTAGGAGTTCTATTTTAAACATGTTAAACTTAAGATGTCAGTGAGATCCAGGGAGATATCAATCAGGCAGTTGGTTTTAAGTCTGGAGCCCAGAAGAGAGGTCTGGGATGAAGATATGAATTTAGAAGTCATTAGCATAATCAGCATTTGAAGATATAGAAGTAGTAGAGATTATCAATTATCAGTGAATGTTGAAAACTTTGAGCACAAGTTTGAGAAGGAACAAGTTGTTTATATAGTCTCAAAGTACCTTTTCAAAGATTACTCATTATTTACATAGGAAAAAATGCTAACTTTACAGTGGAAAAACCTGGCATATGCACCTTAACCAACCGATCAAAGTGAATACCGTAAATAATGGGACCAAGTGACACCATGTTTTTCCTCATCTTATGCACTGAGGACATAACATCCTATGGGTAGTATTCCAACTGCCTCAAAAAAAAAAAAAAAAAAAAAAGAGAAAGAAAGAAAAGGAAAGGAAATTGAATTATAAGAAAACATGGAGCAAAACCAAATAGAGGGAAATTCTACAAAACACTGATCTATACTTCTCAAAAATATCAATATCATGAATAACAATGAAAGACTGGGAAACTGTTCTAGATTAAAGGAGACTACAGGATCAATTAAATACAATAAATGATTAGAGATAAGGCCCTGGATCAGAAGGAAAACTGCTAAATAGGACAGTATCAGACCAATGAGTGAACTTTAAATATGGACTAAATATAAGGATTATATCAATGTTAAATTTCCTAAATTTGATCATCCTACTGGGAGTGGGGGGAGGAATATTTAGGATATTAGGAATAAATGCTAAAAATCAAATGGTTTAGGGGGAAAATCTTGTATATATGTGTGCATCCATACACATATGTACACACAGATTAAAAGATTGTGGCAAAATATAAAGTTCTGGTGCATTGGACTAAAGAGCACATAGGAGTTATTGTTACAACTCTTCTGAAAGTTTGAGATTATTTTGAAGTAAAAAGTTTACAAGTAAATTGGAGATCAGAGAATAGAGCATGCAGTTAACTCTATTGAGAACTTTGGCTGTGAAAGGGAGCAGAGAAATAGGACTAGAGGGGGGCAGCCTGGTGGCTCAGCGGTTTAGTGCTGCCTTTAGCCCCAGGTCCTGATCCTGGGGTCCCGGGATCAAGTCCCACATCGGGGACCCTGCCTGGAGCCTGCTTCTCCCTCTGCCTGTGTCTTGGCCTCTCCCTCTCTCTTTGTCTCTCATTAGTAATAAATAAATACATTCTTAAAAAAAAAAAAAGAAATAGGACTAGAGAAGGAGTCAAGCTTATAAAATAGCTCTTTAAAGATAGGAGAAACTGGAACAGATTTGTACCTCGATGGGAATGATGACGAGCTTCAGCCCATCCTTTATAAGATAAGACATTTGATCAAATACAACTGCCTCGGGCTCCTCTGAGAATATTTTATTCTGTAAACTGCATCTGGGAAGACATTTGAGGTCACCACTTGAGGGCAGTACAAAATGATGCTTCATGTCATTCCGGTAGTTTTACTGTTTTCAGCTGCTGGAACAGAACAAAGCCCTTTGTGTGATTTTTCTCTCAAGTGTGTGTGTGTATGAAATAAACCTAACACACCATTTTTCCCAAATGTTTTAAACAAGAAAAGCCCAACATAATTCATAGCAAGGGTTTGGGGTGAGTAAGAGTAGGAGTGATAATGACGGTCTCAGGCTTAGAAAAATGTCTGGCATGTGTTATGAGTTTAATACAGAATAAAAGGTAACAGAAAGATTAGAGCATGTCAGAGCTGGAAGCGGGCCTAGAGAAGGATGAATCCTGCCCTCTCACTGTGTAGACAGGACCTTGGGTCCAGAGGAGGGAAGGGACTTGGCTGAAGCCACAATAATGTGGTAGAGAAGGTAATAGTTTCAACACCTACCTGGTTAGTCTATAAAGACAAAGGTTCTGATACTTGCAAACGACATCATAAATATAGTCTACAAAGGGACTGACCCCACCACCGGCATTGATACTGAGTTCCTGAAAAAAAATGTGACCTCTGTTGTGAGACTTTGCCCCTTGGGTCCCTCTCTAGCCTGGGAGGATGTGACTCTTCACCCTCAACTCTTGTCCACTTCAACTGGTCCTAATGCTCAGGACAGATTAGTGCTGGTCACAGTCACTCCTTTCTGGCAGGGCCCTAAGGGGTAACATGTCAGACTTTCCTGCCAACACTGAGGGATGAAGGTGAAGTTGGAAAAAAAGTGAATGGGCATGTGGCAGTACATTGTTTGGAAAGAAACTAACAAGGGATGCCTGGGTGGCTCAGGGGTTGAAAGCCTGCATTCGGCCCAGGGTGTGATCCTGGGGTCCGGGGATTGAGTCCCACATCAGGCTCCCCGTGGGGTGCCTGTTTCTCCCTCTGCCTATGTCTCTGCCTCTCTTTCTGTGGGTCTCTCATAAATAAATAAAATATTAAAAAAAAAAACTAACAGGATCAGTGCAGTAGACTGGAAATGAGCTTATTCAGAAAACCCTAGTGAAACACAAAACTCTAAATATGACGTAAATACATAATGGAGAAGAAAGCAACTTGAGACTGATTAAAATACAGAAACCAATATGACTTCTTATCATGCTAATTAATAGGCTCAATATGCAGAAGAGCCCCTAACCTCACTGTAGTCTACAGAAAAATGCTCACTCATTAGCCTACCATTTCAAAGAATTCCTAACCTGGCCCCAGCCCCTTCTCTAGTCTCCTGTCCTGCGATGGTTCCCATTCAATCCACTATTTTCTGAACACTTGCTGCAGTTTAGATGCTGTGGTATACTGGGCTGGGCTCACCACTTGCTCCATTTTGAGCTTCACCTCAAATGGCACCTTCTTTGAATGCTTTCCTTGATCTGACCCTCACATTTACTTGAAGATTCCTTTTGGTTCCCACAGGCATTGCTTTGCTTATATTGAGTATTCATCTCTGCTTTGTCTTCTGCACTACATAATGAGCACTCTGAGGGCATGGACTGGGTCTTAATACAACTATTATTTTTTAGGGATTATTTCCATTTATTAGTAGTCTACCAAAAATCTTTCTTATCTTTCTACCAGTCTTGTCTTTCCAACATTCCAAGTCTAACAATTCTCTAATAGTTCCTGGGCCAGTGATCCCAACACCTATTGACCATTCCTTACCCGTCTTATGTCCTCACTTCTCTTCTTACCCACTTAAATTCCAAGGGCCAAGGTCCAATATTATAATCATTCCCTTGATATATCTCCTCTTTTCCTCTTCTTGCTTTGTTATTCTGTGTCTCAAAACCCCTACCCTGGGCAATCTAACTCTCCACCCTCTCTCTACCTTTTGGAAAATGGTTGAAGAAAAAAACACAAGGTTGTCAATTGGACTCTTCAAATTCATTACCACTAATCTCAAGTAAGCCTTTAGTGCTATCTGGTGATTATTTTATTTTAAAAGTCCATCTACTTTCCCTAAATGATTATTTCATACTTTTTCCCTCCTCAAACATCAGCATGTTCTTTTTTTTTCTCTCTCAACAGATAATTCACCTGCCTGCATGATTGATGCCTGCACACCCCAGTCCTTGACGGTACTCTGAAAGCCAATCATTGCCCCTATGTTTCAGCAATTCTCTCTCTCATCTATGTTATCAGTATTTCCCTTTCCAAAAGATCACCCATCAACTTAAAAAGTCTATGATGGGGAGACTGGGTGGTTTAGTGGGTTAATTAAGCCGGGACTCCTGATCTCAGCTCAGGTCATGATCTCTAGGTTGTGAGATGGAGCCCTGCATTTG